CCCTTCCAACCCCCACCATTCTGTAATTCTACCCCCACAGGGCTCAACCTCCTGTTTGTTGAAGCCAAAAAAGCCCAAAGACTCACCAGAAACATGAGACAACATGTCTCAGTGTCCTGGGATCTTCCATGGTGGCAACAAGAACAAGGAAGTTATCATGCAAAAGATGGCTCCAAAACCACATGTCTTTGAAGCACGGTGTGGCTGGCCACTGAGGAGATAGAAGAGCTCATTTTTCCCCAGAAAGGCATTTGTGGGAATTAGCAGCAGGTGCCCAGGAACGAGCAGGTTCCAGGTACCAGGAACCAGAACTAAAAGGTACCAGGCCCAGACAGCGCTGCTGATGTTACCAAAAGGAGAAGCGAGAACTCAAAGGCTGCTACTGTTTGGACTCGGTGATCTCAAAGGTCTTTTCCAACCAAACAATTCTATGAATCTTTGATTTTTCCATGATGCACACAGCAGCAGTTTCATGTAACCCAAGGATGAAGAAGAATCACGGAATTATTGAACCCCTCTGCACAAGGAATTGCTCAAGGAAAGGCAGCAAAGCAGTGCAGTGCTCCACCTGAGATGCCAGGAACAGAAAAAGGAGCTGCAGTACATGTGATGAGCAAAAGGAGACCTTCCGTTCACCCATGCCAGCAGCAGAGTGCCAGAGTGCTTGGGACAGGCTTCTCCTGCCCCAGATGTTGTCACACTGATAATGTCTCTCTCTAATGCCACATTAACAACAACAAACTGGAACTGCATCTTCTTGACATGCAGTCCTGTTGCCTTTCTGGAATCCTTTCTGAAATCCAACATAGGCAGAGAAATCCCTGGGGAAGAAAAAAATCCCTGACAGATCTTTCCAAATGCCTGGTGGTCTCCGCTTGCTGATGGAGAGTGTTAACATCTTGGTGTAGGCACAGGCACCAGTTGCCAAAGGATCACGGGGCAAGTGATGCAAGTTCCTCGGCCAAGCCAAGCAGCCAGCTTGCCAAGGAAGCTGAGCTTGGGTGAAGAAGTGCCCTTTGCAGCATTGGGCTGCACACACAGTGGGTGGGAATTGTCCTGTCCCATCCTACATGGGACACAGGCATTTGAGGATGGTCTGGATGTTGGGTATGACAGTCCCGTACGCTTCTGCGCTGCCTCCTGCAGGGTGCTCAGCACCCAGTGGTCTACAAGGCACAGCAAGCCCAGAGCATCTGGAAGCAAAAGTGTGTTTGGGCTGGTCCCGAGAGTGCATTTAGGGCACCTTGACCACACCCTCTTCCCTTATCCTTCCTAGGAAAGTGAGCAGCATTGGCACTTAGACCAAAACCCCTCCCAGCCCACAGCCACAAGCAGCTGCAAGATCCCTTTACTGCAGGGAAGTGAAGCAGAAGTGACTTGGGCGGTGCGTGTTCCTCACCGTGGCACAGCTGGCCCCATCCTGCTCATGAAATCACGCAGCAGGAGCAAGGTCAGTGCCCAGCAGCCCCGACCACGTGGATCTAAACACAGGCAGGACGGGCTAAACACGGCAATTTTTTTCCTCCCCAGGGATTTCTAAACACAAGCACCAACGGCAGCTGGAAGACACCTGCAGGCACTGAGGTCTCATCCGTTTGGAGGCAAGGCAGGATCAGGTGCAGGAGAGAGCTGAGCACTTGCAGAACCTTGGCACCTAAGTCCTGGATTTGGCAGCAGCTAGAGGAAGCAGCCGTGGGGCAAGGAAACATTTTGGTGTGAGCTGGCTGGTGAGTCACGGAACAAACCCACTCTTGCTTCGTGCTGTCCCTTCAGTGAGGAGGACTTTGCGCAAGTGCTGGAGCAGAGCTTCTCCCCAGGAGGGTGGTGCGGCCCTGTGATAGCACAGAGGGAGAGCTCTGTCCTCGAAATTTTTTGAGACATGGCCAGAAAAAACTGTGGCTGATTGGAGTTAGTGCCGGCAACAGACGTGCTTAAAGCAGGAGGTTGGACTGGAGAACCCCAAAGACTCCTCGCCACCACCCTGTCTCGGTGCTCGGACAGCTGAATCAGCACATTCTTAGGAGCCCTTCATCTTTGCTTGCTGCTTTTTTTGCAATCTGTTGATTAGACTCTTCTGTCAGTAGACAACAAAGCAATACTTGGTGCTGACAGGGCTGTGTCTAGACCCTCAGAAATTATTTTCTACCATCCTCTTGGAGGCTGGTAATGAATTAAATCACATGGTGAGAGAAAGGGGAAAATATGAAGCCCTCTGTTGCAATTTCCTGCCCCAGATTACAGTGTGCCACGCAGAGAGACAAACAAAGCTGTGGCTCTCCCATCCTGCGGTCATACTTAGATGTCTGGCTTCACTGTCCATAACTTGACGTTTCTCCTGATCCCTGGAATTTCCTGGTCACTTAGGAATGGAGTCTGCAGCAGAGCAGCCCAGGCAGGAAAGCACAGAGCCTGGCAACTGCTGCCTCAAAAGGAGCCACCCTGCCTTGCTGAAACTCTGCTTTTGGGGTGGGGTGAGACCAGTGCCAGCAACTCCCTGCCAAGCAGCAGGTGGCACAGGTGTAGCCCTTGGGCGTTTCACTGGTGATTTGAGCCTTACCCTGAGTCACGGCTGAATAGCCAGGTGGGTGCTGATGGGGCGCGCTGGATCCATGCGAAGGGCAGTTGGCAGGAGGGGTGAGAGGTGGCTCTCTGAGGCTGAACCTATCCAAGCCAGCTTTCCAGCTAGCTGGATCTGAATGGTCCTCTCAGCTGCCACAAGAGCTGCCTTTCACTGTTTCTCTCCTCCTTTCTAGGTTCTAGGTTTCTCCTCACACCATGAGTGTAGCTGTTCTCCTCCTCCTGGGGCTGGGGCTGTTGGAGGCAGAAGGCAGATGTTTCTTCAGTCACGCTCAGAAGTACTGTGTGTGCTACAACCTGTCTGAGGAAAGCCTAAGCAGCCTCATCCAGTGCCTCCCAGCCTCTGTCGTGGAGTTTCGGGGAGGAGAGCTGGAGAAATACGTAGCCTTCCCCATCAGTGACCCGGACCCCTCCACCATTGAAATGCTGGGCTCCCTTGTCGTCAGGAAAATAATTTTTGGTGAACTCCTGGTACCTGAGATACTCCTTGCCTGGATCCTGAGGTTCTTCTCCTACACCCAGGTGCAGGAGCTGGTGTTTGAGAGCTGCATTTTTGAGGGGAGAGGCAACTGGGATGAAATGGCCGGCCAGGACTTGCCCATATTGTCTCTGCACTTCCACAACGTGACATCTCCCCCGCTGATGGGCCGTGAGCAGGATTTCTCTAGTCTGAGCAGCTGGTTGGAGATCCTGCAAGAGCTGGCTGTCACTGCTTCCCATGTCACCAGCCTGCCCTGTGTCATCGGAAGGGTGTTCAAAGATCTGCGCTCCCTGGATGTAGCACAAAACAGCCTTGGGGATGAGAGCTTGATGGCCACCTTCTGCAAGGGAGCTTTCCCTCAGCTCCAGGTACTGAGTCTGCAGCGCAACAATCTGACATCCTATCACAGGGTGTGTGAGAGCGTGCAGCTGCTGCCTGAGCTCCAGCATCTAGATCTCAGCCAGAACAAGCTCAAGGCAGACCCATCCTCCTCCTGCCAGTGGCCAGTGTCCCTCCGAATCTTCAACTTGTCCAGTGCTGGCTTGGATGAAGTCCTCACGCCTCTGCCTCCCAGTCTAGAAGTGCTGGACATGAGCTGCAACCACCTCCATGCTGTAGACATCTCCTTCAGCTCCCTGAAGAAACTCTTCCTGAGCCAAAACATGCTGCAAGCTGCCCCCTCCATCAAGAATTACCCCATGTTGGACACCCTCCACCTAGACAACAACTCGATTACAGAGCTGCCATGGAATGAGGTGAAGCACCTGCAGGATGTGGCTGCGGCTGACAACCCCTACAACTGCTCGTGCTCCGCGGCCGGGGGGCTCCAAGCGCTGGCGACCTTGGGGCACCTTGGGCAGAGCTGGCCCCAGGACTACACATGTCACTCCCCCCCTCACTACCGGGGCAAGCTGGTGAAGGATGTACCGGTCTCAGTGCTGCACTGTAACAGTGCTGCTGTGATTGCTCCTGTCTGCATTGCCCTCGCCCTGCTCGGTGTGGCTGGGGGCATCTGCCTGCTCAGGTCCAGGCCCGGGCTTGTCCGACACTGCTGCAGAGTGTGAAGGGGATGTGTGACTGTTCCCACCAGTGCCTCCCTACAGGGGCTCAGCCCCAGGGGCTGCAAGGCCAGGAGCTCTGTGGGAAGACTTACAGAACCCCCAGGTACTGGTGAGAGGCTCTCTTGGGGTCCCCAGTCCAGGCTCCCCTGTGGAGCAGGACTGTCCCCAGCATTATCCCACAGTGGCTGTGGCTTTGGCCATCTAAGTTTTGGGGAAACCCCCAGGCAAAGCTCCTTGCTGTGCTGTGCTCAGGGCTGCACTGTCCCAGAGGGGTTTCTTCACAGCTAACTCTTAACTCCCCAAGCCCCAACATGCACCCACTGCCCCTGTGGTACCTTCTGTCCTGAACAAGGGGAGTTCAGCTCCATCGTATTTTCACTGCTGCAGTCAACGCTCAAATGCCCCAAGCCCCACTGGGGTCTGGCGGTCCCCACCCAAAGCCCCCCAGCCCAGCCGTCCTTGCAGCTTTCACAACCCTCTGCTGATCCTCCACCTCTCCTCACCTGGGGCTATTGCTGGGCCATGGCTGTGAGGATGTCTGGTGTGTGAGAAGGTCTCCTTAACTGCTATTCAGCATAAGAGAAAAACCACAAAAGAGAGGAAAATGAATAAATTAAACACCCCTATACACAAACACTAGAGCAGGAGGTAACAGACAGCACCCAAGACCGGAGCTCTCAAGGCACTGGTGGACAAAGCCCTCAAGATTGACCTTGAAGAGGTTCAATGAGAAACTTTTTAACTGTTAAAAAGAAAATGGGTTTATTCTGGGTTATTCAGGAGACATCTCATAGGAAAGAGAAAATTGATTCTGGGATGCTGAAGGAGATCGGGGGAATGCAAAACTTGTTGGGGAACGCTAGTGGGAAGGATCAAAGGAAGAATCATGGTGGGTGGGTAGGGAAGGAACAAGCATGGGAAAATGGGGACAGGGAAGAAGGGGGCTGGCCATAGGCAGGCAGTGCATGCCACCCCTGTGGTCTGTCCTGCCTTCTTATTAAAATATTCTCCTGGGTATTTTCTGTGTCACCTCCCTCTCTATTCTGTTTGTGCACATGTGCGTGTGACCTGTGAGCAAACACAGGCTGCACCAGATGGTGGGTGGGAAACCAGAGTGTGGAAGGACCCAAGGCTGGAGAGTGGCTCAACAGGGCCCAGGGTCCAGCTGTGGATCCATGATGGGCTTGGGATCCGCTGCTGTTTGAGGGCACATGGTGTGCACCTGCCTGTGGGTCCAGGGTGGGGGTGTGGGGTTGTGCTACCAGCTCACATCAGCCCTGAGCAGCTGGAGGGGAGGCATGGGCCATGCTGCCCTGTGTTGGTGGGAGTGCTCTTGGTGGTTAGGTGGGTGCTGGCAGAGGCACTACTCTGCTTGTGTTGACCCATGTGGATGTGGGTACACCAGGTGTCTGCGTTTGCATCTTGGGGACTGGTGCTCAGCCTTGCTACTGGCTGGGCCTGGGAATAGGGAGCAGCAGCCACTGTCTAGTGGATGAGGAAGGAGAAATCCCTGTGTCTCAGAATCCTGGGATTTGCTTTCCCTTAGCAGCACCCATGTGAGGCACAACCCCACCCCTTGCTCTGCTCCTGATGGAGCTCCATGTGCTGCTTGCTCCATTTGCAGCGATGGCTTATGTCCAGCCTGGCATCACCCTCCTGCCTGAGGACATTTGGGCAGGCAGGGGCAGTGCTGTAATCTCATTCTATAGGAGGAATGGTGGCAGTTGGAGGAACACATGTGCATCTCATTGTGCCTGGTCCTGTCCAAATGCAAGGGGCAGGGGCTGTCCTGGGACATGTCTCCCACCTCCCACAGTCTGCATTTCCACAGACCACCATAGATGCTCAGCTTTAGCATTTCCTTTTGTGCTTTCTTGGTATGACTGATCTCCAACAAATGTGATTCTGTGTTTTGTGGTTGTTTCTGGTGCCTAAAAAAACCTTCATGATAGTCCAAGGCCCTTCATCTTCTTTTCCCTGGCTGGTAAAGATGTCCCATTGAAGCCAGGAGCACACCAATGGTGTGAGTGGGTCCCAGCACCCACCTGACTCCTTGGCCAGTGGGGCTCAGCCTCCAGAACATGGTGCCTCCAGGCTGGACTCAGTCCCTGCCTGTCCCTGTCCACGTGACTGTGCTTGACACCCATTAATAATGGAAGGGCCAGTGGGGCTCAGCCTCCAGAACATGGTGCCTCCAGGCTGGACTCAGTCCCTGCCTGTCCCTGTCCACGTGACTGTGCTTGACACCCATTAATAATGGAAGGATGCCCTGTCCAAAACCAGCAGCTGCTGGCGCTGAGGCAACCATGGCCACTGGGGAGGTGAGTGCCATTGTGGGGGACATCACAGGGTGGTTTGGAGGAATTTGTCCCCTCCCTTTGGTGCAGCATGGCCAGGTGCTGCCCAGCTGCCCAGGGGCTCATCCAGCTCCTGGCAGGTGCTGGGTGTGTGGGGTAGGACCCAGCTCATTCCCTCTCTGCCCCGTGTCCTGGCAGGCTGAGCAGGATGTGTGCATACGAGCAGCTGTGGGACTCCACCAGACAGCAGGTAGAGCTGGGACTGGGGATACCTGCCTTCAGCCCTGACCCCCACACCAGAGAACTGGGCTAGGGCAGCAGCCACAGCTATGGTGGCACTGGGACCGCTGGCTATGCTGGTGGGGCTGGGCTGGGCAGTGGTGATGGGGAGGGGGTGTCCTCCCCACCCTGGTGGCTCTGAGCACCGTGGGCAGGCAGGATGTGAAGCCCTGGGACCTGTCCCCAGACTGCAGGGAGGGATGGAGCTGGGGCAGGTGGGGCTGGCCCCTCTGCACCACCTCACACTCAGTGTTTTCAGGGCTGGGGGACAGCTGGGCAACCAGCAGTGAAGACCCCCTGAAGCTTCTCTTTGCTGGGAAGGAGGTCCAGGTGAGAGTGGCAGGGAAATGGGTGTCAAGGGGATGAAGGTCCCCACGGAACCAGACAGGAGCAGGGGGCCCTGTCCCAGTCACCTACCATGCTTGGGACCCAGCTGGGTGCTGAGGTTTTGGGCTGATCCTGCCCTACACCCCTATGGGCCCCTCTCTTGTGGGGGCTCCTGGGCATTACCAGATAGCAGGGGAAGGGAGGGGGTCTCCCCCCACCCCTGCCTGTGTCAGGCCCTCCATGCCACCCCCGCCATCTCTATCCCAGTGTGCCCAGTCCCTCCTTTACCCTGCACTGGTCATACTGGAATGGGGAAAAGCTGAACATTATCACCCTCCCTCCCTTGTGCCAGGACAGCTGCTTGACTGTCGATGGCGTCTTCCACTTGGATGCGGGACAGGTATTGTGGGCCCCATGTCCTTGTTCTGCACCCCTGTCCCCAGCCAGATGAGCCAGGGACATGCTGGCCCAAGCCATGGGCTGGGGCACCTGGCTGTGGTCCTGGAGGCACTGTGCACCATTGTCAGCTCCTCTAGTGTCACAGGCAGTGCTGGGGGCCTGGGACTCGGTCTGTGTGTGGCTCTGCTGGCATTTCTCACTCCTTCCCTGTTTCCTCTTTGGTGCTGGGATGTGGCTGCCATGCTGTGCCGTGCTGTCTGTGCCTTACTGTCCATGCCATGCTCTCTGTCATGCTGTGCACGCCTGTGCCATGCAATCCATGTTGTGCATCTACACCATGTCATCCATACTGGGCTACCTGTGCTGTACCACCTGTGTTGTGATGTCTGATCCATGCCAGTGCCTTCTGTGCTGGGCCATCTGGACCGCACTGTCCATGCCATGCCATGCTGGCTGTGCCATGCCATCCCTGCTCTGCTGACTACATCTCTCCTACCAGGAGAAGGTCCTGGAGCTGGCAAGACCCCAGCTGGCCCTGGTTCCCCTTGGCTACAGTGTGTCCCTGTTGCTGTGGGACCCCCATGGCCCTGGGACCCAGCTGCCATTCCAAAGCATCGTCTGGCAGGTGAGGGCACAGGACACACCAGGGGAGAGGTGACAGTGCAACAGCACAGTGCTGGGCTCCTGAGTTGTCCAACTGACCTCAGTCCTGCTGGTACGGGTGTGAGACCCACCCATGGGTGCCAAGAACCAACGGCTCCCAGCTTGACCAGCTTGTCCCCAGGTGATTGACACCGTCTTCCAAGAACTGAAGGCCACAGAGGGTGATGCACAGAGCCTGCAAACTGTCAGCCTGGTCCAGGTAGGGGAGGAGCAGGGCTGGTCATGGTGCCCTGGGGTGGAGGTCCCATTCTCCCTCTGCCCCTGGCCAGACCCTGCTGTGCCAAGGCACATGTACTGCCCCAGTACTGGCATTCAGTCCCCTGTGCTGGAGGGTGACCAGGGGATACAGACCTTTGGATCCCAGGTTTTCTCATCTCTTCACAGGACTTCCCAGGTGTAGGAAGCCTGGGCTGCCCATGGGGCATCTCCCAGGCTCCAGCAGAATGGTGGGAACAGGGGAGCCCTCTAAAACCTTCCTGCCCACTGCATGGCTGGACCTTTCCTGCCAGCCACTGCTCCCTGTGGCCTCAAGGTCCCTCCAGCGTGGGCCTGGCTGGTCCAGGAGTGATGCCAGCTCCTGCCACCAGGCTGGGCACTGCCCTTTGGCCCAGGATGCTGCCAGGGACGTGCCACGCTCTGCACAGGGCTCTGGTGTTCCCAGGGTTCTGCCTTTCCCTGGCCATGGGGCTGGAAAAGCTGGAAGTGACCTCGAGATCTCTCCCTTCCCAGCCCTTACCTGTGTGGGGCCCTGGTGCATGTGGGATGCCAGCAGCCCCCCTCTTCCTGCCCCCTCACCTGACGCAGCCCCATTCCAGGTCTGTGCCCCCGACAAAGCCTGGGACCTGCTCTGTCCTGATGGCCGAGCCCTGCAAGTGATGGATGTTGCGCCCCTGGGCCTGTGGGTACCTGATGCCTTGTGGTTGGGCAGCTACTCCTGGGGGGGTGGTACCCCAACACTGAGCATGGGGCTGGGCAGGGAGCATGGTGCCCAGCCAGAGGACAGCCAGGGTTATCCCTTGAGGAGCCTGGGCATGCAGG